AGTGTAATGCAATCAAACAACGAGAATAAACGAACGAGACCAATCGCTTACAACCATATTCACTTCATTTTCAAGTTTCCGTACAAACTTCGGTTGACAAAAGTCAAAGATTATGCTCACAGTAACGACCTAATAATGCCATTAAATTGTAGCAAGTAACAAACACGAATAATCATTCGTCCACATACAGTGAGAATATGAACGCTCATTGTCAGTGACAATGTACACCTCAGGAAACGACCACTTTGTAATAGTAAAATTATGATTCAAAAGGTTTGATGATGGATTTTCCAAACTGTACGGTTATCGTTTGAAAGACGACATTTAAACAGAATGTGACAAAAACGACAGGATACGATAACAAAAAGTGTTGCGAATGATCGTTGCGAATTGTAAATGTTGATATACTTATAACACTAATGAATACACATAAAAAATAGCATTGATAACAAAACAAGCACATTCACTACTTAATGACATTCATTACACAATACGCATTATGCGCTCCATCAGTGGAAACGAATTTGCGTGAGGAAATTCGATCAGACATCTGACATTATGAATATAGATCAGATAGCAATGAGTGATCATTTCCTGTCACAACAACATGAACCAATTGAATATGACTGTCATAAAAGATCTCTAAAGTGTCATTTCAATTGAGTGCACACTTTGATGTATCGCAGTTTTTGGTCATTTGTTGATATGAGAGAGGTGCAGATAATGCAATAGATTACTGAGGAATTCGGCACACGACATAAGTGATGAGCCAAACTTACAGATAAATACTGCGAGATCAATTATGAACTGCAATCCACCAAAAAAAAATTGATCAGGTAATTGTATACAGATAAACGCATAGATCAGCGTTGCAACATCAAATATTTGGCTAAGGATAATTCTCTCAAACAAAAAATCACGGAAGTGGCTACCTTCATGAGTCCCTTGAGAAGCATGAATGAAAACATGAAGAAATACGTCAAAGTTAGGGCGGCAAATCATGCAGAATTGAGCATATCCAAGATCAGCGGACGGAATGCAGAATTAAGTGCTATAATTGTTATGAGTCGGATCACCAACGATAAGTTACAGTCCAAGCGAAAGTATAGAATTTGATGCAGTTGTTATGCACTGATGCCAAACAAATTCTTACTGCACTACTCACAATCAGCACTTTGAAATTTACAGTTGAGAGTCGCATGCTGGAAACTATATTTGCAAGCAGAATATCTCTACTGCAAACAAAAAATGCACTTGATCAGTCTTTTGCATCCCATAGCAGCGCACAGACATGTGATCATGATTCAAGGCAGGTAAAATCTATTTTTTTAAACACACATGATGAATCTCACAGTGCGCTGAATCCCACGTAGCGTTGAATCTCACCATAATTCCTGTCGTAAGCATACGCATGGAAGCAGACAAGACAAAATGGTAGCAATGAATGGTCATTAACTGCAGTTTCCCAGTGGTGATAATGGCTGAACGGCCTGCCGCAATCAAAAGTGTAAACAGATATACTGATGAGAAAGACGATACACCACTCCTCAAGACAAACGGCTGCTCGCCTGAACCTTAAGCCTCACATCTTTAGGACCTTCGCGACAAAATGAGCACATGGATGGGAAGACAGCAAAATTCGTGAGATATGGAAACACACTCAAACCGATCTCTGAGTCATTTAGAGGAATGAGGCTAAAGCTTAGTATAAGGCTTAAGCCTATTCTCAAGCTTAATCCCAAGCTTAGCGCTAGATTCCTGTTCACGCTTATAAGATAATGAAATTCAGTCGTATTTTTTCGTGCTACAATATACCTCAACGAGTTTTTCCTGTATTGCATGATTCGTGAAACAACCATACCAAAGCACTGTTCACGCACATTACGATGGCATTAAGTTACGTTATCATACCAACTACCTTGCTTTTAACAGTGATACTCTTTCAATAGTACACTAAAATAATAATTTGCACATCAATTTCGAAAAAAAAACTTGCCATGTTAATGAAGAGCAGTAATTTGTTGGGCATTTCCGGAAAAAGAAATGAGTTCATCAACAAATTATAACAAACGGTTCGCATTTAAATGGGATAATCACTGTTCATTCTGAATTTGAAGTTAACGGATAGAGGACAGTTGAGAAAGCGATAAGCATAAAATCATTGTTGAAATGATAACCGAATAACTTTCAACTCTAAATACGTAAAGATTTTCTTCTCATTTCAATTCAGTTTTAAACGCAAAAGAAAAATATTTCATCTTTTGCATTTAAAATTGAATTTGAGAACTGATCAAAAAAANAAAAAAACCGAGAGAAATTGCAGCAGGTTTTGGTCGCTGTGAAACGATCAATGCTTAAATGTATAAAGCTTGATCGTTCAAAAAGTAATTAATAGTAAGTGAAGAATATTCCAGCTGAAGATGAATACGTCTAATTTTTAAACAAAACGCAAATTAAGTTTAATGAGTTGCTGTGAAATATTTACAAGCAAACGCATTTCAATAAAATAAGTCACTTCAGGTTGAATTGAAGGTTCAACAAATTTGCATATGCCAAACAGACATAATGATGGTCGATGAAGATGCATTATTCTGATGAAATAAACGTTTGAGACTGATTGTGAGGTGATGTGCACAACGAACAATAGCATCAGCAATAACGACAACCAATTATGCAATTCAAATTCGTAAACAAAAATGTTGACTCACGACCATTCCATCTCTCCTTGACGCAAAACGTCAACATGCGTTGAACATGTATCAAAAATATAATCATAACACAGCAAATAAAATCAAGATGAATTTTCTCGACCATAGGAAACATTTAAAACGCATAGCAGTTTGCTCTTTCAATGTGATTTTTGTCAAAAGCAAATGAAAGAAATATGGAAGATGAAAGGAAACGCAAACCATCGATCGTAACGAACGAGCTTCGAACGATATGAATTCATTTCGAATATGGTTTAGAAATACAACTCCGAATGAGGATGACGTGTGAATGATGATTATGAACAAATGGTAGTGAGCGAGAAATGGAATGGTATGAGCAACTGAGCAGTATAAGGTTCAGTCTAAAAATTGTGAGAATGGAACGGTAGAGTAGTTCAATTAATAGTGGTTCGAGTGAGCTTGTTATCAAGAAGAAATTAACATAGGTGCGGCGATTTTCGTTCATTTGAACGCATTTAAATCGAACAATACTTACTGCAATTATGCTGATTGGACTTCAGATCAATACTAGTTACAGATGAAGGTGAAACGTCGATACATGAGTTCGATTAGTAATGAACTCGAAATAGAGTCAACCATTTCTCACCCGAAAAATATCCAAGAATCTTCAATGCTTTCACACTGCATTTACCAAAAAATACTCATCACGAAAATTTCTTCTCCTTTAATCATTCGACCAATGATCAAAATATTAAAAAAAGAAGCAATTTCACACTACAATATTCAAATTATTCGTTAAACAGGTACTGAAAAACCAAAATCCTCGATAATATGAGTGACTCTTTTGTGAAGTAAGTACATCAAATCATCAACTAGAACCGAAAATCTCTGTTTACTGGCGACAACATATTCAAGGAAAGACGAATAGGACTGAATAGACGATGAGGAGGATTCATGTCAACAACAAGACATATCAGCCGCCGAGTGACGAATGCTGCCGGATAGTTGAGCGAGTAACGAAGAGCGTGAGTTGGAAAATATCTCGGTGAAGTAAAGAGGAATTTGATTGGCAGGGATCATAAGGGATTAGCGAAGCAACATGAATAAGCAAAATAACAACGACGAAGATGTTTATCTGAACAGGAAACAGACATATCATAAAGAATGTGGAAACGAGCATTGAATGGACCGGGCACTGATTAGAATGGCTGGCTGCTGACATTGTTGTTGAGCAAATAACAACCACAAGCTCAACCCCAACGGGATTCGAGATTACTGCCACCATGTTGCATATTGTTAACACGTAACACAGTGTTCATTAGCTTTTATGCACATCGCATAGCTTGTGGCGGTGTAAAAATATGGATTACTTAAGCACATTACTTAAGAAGATGTGCATAATTAGAACACTAACTTATGTGCATGCTCAGTTAGAATGACACTGATATATCATATCACTCTAGTGTTTTTATGATTAGAAGGATAGAAAATATTGAACTGCAATATTGACGACAATAAGAGAAGATGAAGCAGATAATAATAACTGTGCGGAACAATTCGACATCAACCAATCATTCTCATTAATTTTGAAGCAACTCATTCCACGGTTTACCGTCTTTAGGGTAGCCAGTAACCTTTCGAAGAAGCCCACTGTTCTTGAAATAGAGAACTCACTTAACAGAATGATGTGAATTTTGTGAAGGCGGAAAATCTTTGAAAGATATAAAATATGCTGTACGTGACAGGGGTAATTTAGAGTGAAAGAATTAATCAAATAGAGAAGCTCCATTAATTACTCGTTAATTATAATGAATTCTTTACTATAATACTCTCCAATATCACACTGAACAATGCACAGCTTACATTAAACATTGAATATGTAAAATAATACGGTGAACATGTATAAAAGATATAGCATTAATCACCCTTAATGCTATTCTGCACCCCAATCGTATTAACATCGTAATATTCATTTGAAATTACTCAAAGCAATCCAATTCATCACGTGAATTGCTTCCATTCTCTTGCATTTAATGCATTCTTTATTAGCCACCTAGAAGACCTGTTCAATTATTTTTACTTCGCTAAATTACCGTTGTGAAATCAGGACGAGTGAGGAAATTAGTAGTGCTAAACTCATAAGAATTATCGCAATTCGTATCACCCGAATACAACACCCATCAATCTAATGTTTCAAATAAACACGTATTCATGCGGTCTACTGAACATCTCATGAACAATTCAAGTCATCACTATTTAATTGAATTTCGTGCAGTTCAGTTAATGGGCTCATTGCAGATATACAGAAATACTCGCGTAATAACAGAGAGTGAGTTCAATTCAAGATCGCTAATCAAAATGATGCAGCAACTATGCGTAAACGATACCCTGACCGGACTGGATGGCAGGATGGCGAATGAAAGTAATACATCCGTATATGAGACCAGATGAAACAGTTGTTAATACTAGTGAAGATAGATTAATAAACAATCGAAATTATAGAATGAGATAAGATATGTAATGACTGAACGTTTACAGTTTAGTTACACAACTTCTCGAACTGAACGCAGCAGTATTACTGATAATTGCGCATTGAAACAGTCACACTTTAAAATATTCCTCCCTTGCACTCCAAAGCGTTGCCTGATTGAATTAATAATGAAAGTGCAAAGAAGAGAGACAGAGAAGTACTCGCAAGAATGACCACATAATGAAGGTCCTTAATGCAAAACCATTTGAGAAATTCACCTTGATTTTCATTTGTCGGTGTTGCAGTTGGTGTAAAATGCACGGCGAGTATCTCGCTTAGTTTCGATTTAATTTCTTTTTTTGGTTTACGCTTATCGGCCGCAATACTTGCTTTGATCTGTTCCATCAACAACTGCGATTTTGACGGTGGTTTTGGTTTTGGTTTGGGTGTTGGAGCATTTTGCAGTTCTCGAATGGATGGCTGAAAGTATTCATGTATCATGATCGCATCCGAATTTCTAATAAACGAATGCTAACGCACTAAAAGTCAACCATCTCTCACCTCTATCAATTAATAGACAAACGACGAAAACGTTCACCAATCGCACATAATCACTTAAACAGCACTACGGTGATCAATTTGCAAGCAACAAATATTTACTCAATTGAATACTGACTGGTTTCGGTTTTCTGGGACGTTCCTCCTTATGTTCGTTAATTTGGTCAGGTGTTGCGTTACGCTTCGCCAGATCGAGGGTCATCCGTTTCTTGGCAGACGTAATATTGGTGGCGTTCGCTGATTTCTTCGTTGGACTCTTCTTCGAGCCAGATTTTGATGGAACAAAATTATTATTATTGCCCTGCTTCTCAACCATCTGAAATATTCATTCATCGTGAATTCATTTCAGTAGTTATAGGTACACTTCAATAGTTTACGTCTTAAAAACACTCAAACAATCGACGAAATGCCTGCATGCATGCAGACGGAGCGGAACAGTGGATTCAGGCCACTCTTCTCAAGTTATACTGTAAGCAACAATTCTTGACACACATTCACCACGTTCCATCACCGACTTCACACGTTTTATGCAGCACAGACTAGTTTAGCCAATGAATATTTCAAGGTTTGGCAGTTACTTAAAAGTACAACTGGCTATTATTTACCCGTTCCACACTAACCACTGCAAAATATTATCACAAGGAATCGTTTAAGTTCATAATGTGAAAACGAACATAGCATCGCACGATTGCTTTAACACAAATCGTGGCGCAATACACAAACAAATATCAATAAAATAACAGAATTGAGTGGAATTTCAATGAAACCATTACGAATCACACAACAATTCGTAACAAAAATGGACATCACAACACGAACAGAATTAATATTTCATATCGGTTCAAACAAACGCTCTTACAACCACAACAAACATTCAGCGCAATTATCTTATAATCGTAAAGCTTCCTTCATTCCAGTCAAACAAACAACACACATGACCAGCACTTGCTCTCTCTAATGCCTCTTCCATGACTGTACACAGAAGCGTTGTCCATGAAGTATTTTCAAACGTTTCAACAACACCAGTAATACGATAATGTCAGTAACGATGAATAAACAAACAAATGATACTCACAGTCGGTGTTGGCTCGATTACGCCTTCTTGCATTGGTTCAATTTGATGATCGTCAGATGTCACCGAATCCATACTCATTTGCGATGACGACTTCTGTAGAGGAGACGTGCGTATTATGTAAGTAACATCAGTGTTATCTTCATTGATAAGGTAGTCGCTCGCAATATCATCGTAGTTGTATTGACTCAAGTCATCGCTCGCGAACAAATCACTCAGGAACGGATTGTTATTGTTACTTGAATGTGGTGAAAATGACGACGTTGATATTTCTTGCTGTTTAGTATCATCCGTAAAAGTTCGGTATTCCACTAGCGGAGTGGATGCTTCGTCATTGATCACTGGCAGGTGATCAACGCCAATCTTGGATTCATCCAATATTTGACTTGTTGAATTGGTTGGCACTTTAAAGTTCACCATCGTTTAAACTTTCATCATATCGCATTCCATAATTTAAGTTTAGTGAAAATAATCTAAGTGAAGCCTTTCCAATGAAGGCTTTGCCATAGAAATGGATGTACCACTCAAAAAATATTAATGAAATCAGTATCTTTCCAAAGATATCACAAAGAGATTTGGTCATTGGAAACGCTAAAGTCGAAATCGAACAATTCAATCTTTATAGCAGGTTACTAAAACAGCATCATCGTAAATGCTAAAAGCTAAAATATCAAGAGCAACAAAACGAGACCAAATCAGAATGAAATAACTAACATTCTGTTGGAAATGAATCATCGCTCACATCGATCAGTGTACTTGGACATTCAATGTCTTCCAAAAATTCGTATCGCGTATTAGTAGTCTTAAAAAACTTATTTTGAGCGTGAAAATATCTCCACAAATCTTGAAGTGAACAAATGTGGTGAATAATATCGTATGAACTTTATCTGTAGTGGAAATATTCATCAGATGACAACAAGATGACTGATTGCAAAGAAAATGTTTTTCAGTGGCTGAACAAGTGTAGAAGTCATTTAATCGATGCTCACGATATAATAGCGCAAAATACAATTCACTAAGTTTAACTCTAGAATCGCAAGAAATTGTAACGCAGTGAATAACCGCAGTGAATCATACAACTACAGAAGTCTTGAAATTCATGACTTCATTAACGAAAAATCATGCACTATTTTACAAACCACTATCACATTATCACTGTTCAGTTTTCCAGTGCTATTCACATCAGTATTACTGAGCCCTAGTATTCTTCATGAATTTTAGCGATGTACGATGCATGCATTTAGATATTAGCGTAAAGGTCGAAAGATAAATTCACCGCTGGATTAATCGTGTAAGTCGCGTTCGAACTGAACATTTGATCGTTGTTCCAGCTTCCATTCATGTGCTGAAATCAACAACGTAGTTGAAAGAAAACATCAATATAACCACTATCACCATTCAATTCGTTATATATTATAAGAACGAATCCAATAGTAAGACCATCTGTTACTGAGGTATTGTATTAAATGAATGCGTACACACATCTACACATTACGCATTCAAAACAAAAAAATGCAATGATCATGCTCGAAAAAACAATATCATCTGGTAGAAGATACCGCTGGAGTAATGGTATATGTTGCATTCGACGAGAACATCTGATCGCTGTTCCAGCTTCCATTCATTACCTAAAGCGGAATAATGGCATTTTATTCGATTGAAAGGCAAGGAATATAGTGGATTCGCAAGGATTTGAGCAGAAACAAAAAATCCAGTCACAAAGTGAATGAAAATGCGATATCTTAACAAAAAAAAAATGGGAAGGCGATAAAATTGCGAGCGCTGAGATAAGCGATAACTTTCACAGTAAACAGCTGATAGTGAGACTAGTGAATGAATACCCACGATCACATGATGACGTGAAAAGGTTGTGATAAAGAGATAATAATCTCGAGAAAGAGTAAATTAAGGTACGAATAATGAGGCAACATAACATTAAAAGAAAATAAACATCAACAACAGGTTGTTGCAGTTGTCGTTGATTTTTGATTTGTTGTGATATAATGGTTGTCATATCTGTTATAATCATGTACTTACAAGCACGTCATTTAAACATTCATAAAGCGATATTTCATTAAGAGATTGCGATTGATCAATTTATCCCACTCTCAGCCTCGTTCGTTTTCACTTAGCTGCATTGTTGAAACGCACATAATCCGAAAATATTGTTCAAATTGTCAGTTTTGAACAACCAAAACAGCTTGTCAATTCAGTTTATGTATTGCACGAGTAGAGATAATTTGTGATGCAAATGAATATTGTTCAAATAATCAATGGTGAAGTTTAGAGGATCAGTTAGTAAATGCTTTCAGGTTCGTATTGCATAAAGTGGGCGAGTTTTAAATGCACAAATGTGATTAGCGTTGCTAACTAATGAAGAGGCTTAATTAAATGAAGAGTGAAGTATTTTTAAATGATGGAAAGTGATCTCATTCATTGCTTTGCTGCTCGTTTCACTGTTCATTTATCCATCACCTTTGTCCCAGCTGTGGCGTGATGAAGTGATGAAAACGAAACAGTTTTGAACTTTTGTTGGAAAACATTGATAATCTCGCATCAATTCTCTGACAATGAGTACAAACTGAACTTTCATCAAATCAATACAGAACGAACCATGGAGTTGTCAAAAAGGAATGATGATGTTCCCATCGAACTAACTGATGCCATACTAACATCCATTGAAGGTATCGTGGATGGATAGGAAGGTGTTGTGCCTATTGATGGCATCGCTGATCGTACTAATTTCTGAAATTCATTATTTATCTGTTGAGCAGTTCAAATATTAGAAGCACTATAAGAAACGAAAATTCAGTGTTAGTGATCACTTTCGAAATAGTACATAATTAACAAATATCTGTTAAAGAAACACTGTTCAAATGCATCAGTTGATCAGCATTATACAGATCAAGTCCAAAGCATTCGGGATTTGAGTTGTCTTTTATCACATCATAAAATTGAATAAACCAACGTATCAACACAATTGCGGCACAACATTCAGATAATACCTAAGGTAACAATTTTTGCAGTAAACAATGGTGAATGATTCAACACTAAAGTGTTATTCTATCGTAACAAATCACAACAAGTATCTCGATAAAACAGAAACAAAGTTTGATGCTAACTGATCTTCGATTAAAATGCATGAGACAAGTGAAAATTTCATTTGAAATACCACTGATGTAGAAAGACGAACACTGAAAGTTGGTGAAATTGGAATTTTTTAGCTGAAAACTTCAAAACGACAAATTTTTTAAAAAATGATTACTAATTATGATGTTATTGGTTGTTGACAACTTTGAACGGATATGATATGTGAATGTGGGTGCATGGAAGTGAGCTCAATAGGGACATTATTATTATTATTATTATTGCAACGTAAACATCATATAACCGGTACTCTGTCATTAACGCCGTTTTCCATAATGGCTCGGTTAATTATACCAATTGAGTTCGCTACGGTTCCAAGCGTGATCTTGCAACAATCAAAAATTGTGGCTGACAACCACATCGAACTGTAACGCTGGGAAATACAATCAAACACCTCAGTAATCAGGTATAGATGTGGGTTGAAAAACGAATCGAGCTCATAAATTATATTTCAAATGGGAAGAATGGATATTTCAGTTCAGCCATCATGTTTCTGTGCTGAATCTCAGAAAAAGCGTGAGCCCAAAATAATACTTGATGTATCCATTTGAAATAAGGGAAAAGACCACGAGTGGGTAGTTTTGCCAGGGTAATAATACAAAATCAAACTTTAAAATGTGCATGCGTTTTGGCTTTTTAAAATCTTAACAGGCCATTTGTGACTATTTAAAAGATCGATGTTCCTTAATCGTATGCCAAATCATCTCTGATCTGTTTTAAGTATTTAACTAAAAGTAAAGTAAGGTGGAGAGTCATGCAAAAGATTTTATGTGTTACATAAATATGTAAATATTCAATTGATGGTCAACATCAAAGCAACATACTACTAATAAACGTGTATGGAATGTGTTCACAGGTGATAAAGCAAACACGATGTTTCGTGACATAATTTGCGTAACTCAATCGCCTTCATTGACTGAACTGGCATCATTGAACCGCATGAACAGCGGTAGTATAGTATCGAATTTTGGTTAACGATGAATTAAGTTTGCCTTATATTTGGTCACTACGGTGAACCAATCAGATATTCATAACAATTTGGTCAAAATGTTTATTTGCTTTGGAGTGCGTAATGCGTAATTTAAAGAGAGATTATGAAGATGTGTGATTCATAGTCTATTTGCTCAGTAATGAAAAACTAAATCATTGGTGAGAGATTGACTCTGGCCAAATATTGTTCTCTGAACAAACAAATGCTTCGCAGGTTGACTGAATTCGATAGACCAGATCATTCATACGAAAAATAAGCAATCTTCAGAAAGATTCATGGATAAAAAGTGAGAGACAGTTCATCACACTGATCGCCTAATACAGTAATAAAGAAAATTTCATCGCATGGACGTGAAAGAATTCATACTCGATGTTTCCCGAACGAGCTGATGATGCGCTAAAGGAGTATAAATTTTACCGATATGATGAGGAGAATGAAATGCAATAAATTTCTAGTTCAAGAGATGGCTGGAAAAGAAATATTATTTCTGAAAATTGCGGTGAAAAAAAAGATTAGCCATCAAAGTGTTCAGGAAACTGTTGAGTTGTTAAAGAATATGAATATGGTAAGTAATAAGAAATAATCGATGAAAAAGGCAACAAGTGAAGGATATTGAAACGCAATAAATCACTTGATAGCGTTAAAAACGTAAAACGAAAATTACTTGTTGTTAGTTGTGAGATGGTTTCAAAATTCACCCCACATTCATTCATCATCCAATACTGATGATCATTATGTCACGCAATATGTCACCTTTTCAGCACTTACATTTCGCTTAACGAAATTCGTTCGGAAGAAATTGATACGATTTTGCAATTTTCTCATGAAATCACTTACTCTGATAAATTGCACATCTTAAAAAATCTTTCATCCATAAATATTGCATTTGTTTCGATACTTCATATGCAGTATGAATGTAAACTCACTCAACAACTCAGTATAAAATGCGATCTTTTACTGAATCGAACGTTAAACAATGTGATTAATGCTGGAATCTTTTAGAAGAGTTTCTTAACGGCAAACGTAACAAACAACTATTCAACTCGAAATGGAATGGTGTGAGTGGAAAAGAATTCTGTTTTCTGAGCAAACAGAACATTTAATAGCTTACATTGAGAAAACACACAAAATGAATTAATATTCATTGCGAGATGGATTTATAACTGAGAAGAAGTGTCAGAAAAATGGCATATTTATGCACATTCGTTGAAGACATATGAATTCTCATCAAACTGATGAGGGAATAACGGTGCTGATAAATCGGGACTGTCAATAATCATGCAGTTACGCGCTGTTTGCCGTCGAAGGCAGCATGCGATCGTAGCATGGAAGGTGCATCGAAAAATTTAATGAATCTATTAAACGATAAATCTTTGAAGAAGATGCATGTAGGAAAAATTATTTATAGGAAAAAATGTTTGAAGTGATACATTAGAGCACTCTTGAATATAGGCTGATCAATACTGAATGAAGTTGATACGAGACGAGAAGAGTTATGTGACTCGTTTTGGGATGTGCACAGATGAACTGAAATCATTCACCGATTGACAATAAAGTTTGAAAATGAAACAGTCGACGAAATCCGCTGAATACACAATGAATGAACCGAAAGGTTACAATGTAAAAACGTCTTTCACTGATTCTGAGTGAAACTACGAACCAACATCGCTATACGATTTAACATGATCAGATGAGAAGCGCGAAAGCTGTGAGCAATTTGAAAATATATGCTCAATAATTGATCTTTCCTAAACGATTTTTCATTCAACAGCACGCGAAAGCTCGTGCCAGTTCATGAGAGACCCTTATGTTGAATATTCTTGAATTGGCTCGCCGAAGAAGTTAACACTGACAGTGAGAGTGTTAACTATTATTTTAAACTAGCAACTACTTGAAGATGATAACCCATTTGCTACGTACAATTTGTTGCTATCATTTTGATTCATTGACAGATTCCTTTGAAAAAAACTCCAATCTTGTTTACAAATGATGTTTGATGTGATACAATTCAACGACACAACCAGCAGTAATCTCGTCACAGGAAGAGTAAATGAAGAACAATAAAAACTCAGAAGGGAAGTGCTTCCGGGAGATTAGCGCTAATGCATGACGAATGTAAACGATTGAGCACTAAATCGGTGCTCGATATGAATCATACACAGTAAGTTTTGACTATGACAGAAAACCATTGATGGAGGCACTCAGAAACGAGGTTCAGCTTAAAGTAACATAATCATGAAATCGCGTCAAGTGCACCTTCCAAATGCTGTTAACCTTATCAATTTAGTCATGCAATTGATTCGTTCTTCGATTTTCTGAATGTATGATCGTTCTCAAACAGAAGTTGACATTTCTGATTAGAGATATGATGGATAATAGTATTGAAAAGTGCACCTTCTTAAATGCAGAATAAAACCCTGTTGAATGGCATAAATCAGCAGACTTTTTGCAGCAGATTCAAAATACGACGATCGATGGAACAGGTTTTGGACTGAAAATGTTACATTCGATCACTTACTGAATGCAAAGGAAATGGTGGAAATTCAAATTGCCAAATTCAAAAAACTGCTTATGAAAATGAATGAATGTCAGTGAGAAAATCGCCGAGAAAACGGCGTCGTGCTCCGACCAAAATTCAATACCTACTGACATAACTGAACACGATAATGTGCGAAAAAATGGTTCTTTGATGAATGAAATGTGTGAAAACGAACGGGAACGCTGAATGATAAAAACGAATTTTCACAGTGCTCAATGATGATTGATACCTTGGAAAATTGGTTCACTGGAGCACAAACATTAGCGCCAGCTTTTTTTTTTCGCAAAGTGATCAATTATTTTATCGAGAATTGGTTTCAAGATCAGAGCAATTTCGTAATTCAGGCACTTCCAACGATCAGAAATCCTTTCTTGAAAAGAATGGAACCTGAAGTAATTCCGAAACAGAATCACGCCGCACGCCGATTAATAACAACTAATTAGTTGGTATCGAAATTCCAATATTTGTGTGTGCAGTTAATATGAAGATTGAAGGTTAGAATCGTAATGTGCATCTGAGTTTCATTCAGTAATGACTTTCAGAAGTATGCGCTTATGACGGTGCTATAAAAAATATCACGCAAATTCGAATGTCTCACAGAGGTTTCAATGTCACAATATCTCATGTCACATTGAAGTTGACCTGCGTTTATCGGCAACCACAGTAAAATCCGTTTCAAATTTCTGTTTTCACAATACTCGACAACACAAAGTGTATTTTTTGGTGCCACAGTAATATTCAGTCGTACTTCAAGTCAAGTCAAGAAATGAGGCATAGAGTTGAATTTGTCGGTCACTTAAATGGCAATTCGATAGTCATAAAACAGTTTTTAAATTGATTCTATAAATAAAAACCAGATGTTCATCTAACAGCACGAAGATGATTGAAACTGCGATCACTAATCGACTGCTTCTCATTTTATTGCCACAATCGATGCAAACGATCCGATGTCTTTAACCTCTCTCCCTTCATAAATTCGTTTGGTAATCAAACTGACAACTGACCACTTTATCAATTCACAGACATCACAACCGTTAAAACATTAAACGTGGCAATGAATAATTGTGAAAAAACTTCAAGGGTCATGCAAAGAGATGAAACGCTAAAAATGCTATACGATTTTTGCTCAAAGAAAGAGTACCGCAAGCAGCTGTCAAGATTACCGTGAGTGGAGGGGACGAGAGCAACGAATGAAGAGTGGACACGATCAAGGCATAATTACTATGGCACAATGCTTTGCTCGCTATTCAAACTGAGTGAAAAGCATCAAAATAACTGGAATGAATGGAGACGAGATGTGAATTATTTAACGCAAAATTGGAACAGAATGACCGAAATCAAGAGCGACTCACACTAATCTACTCAAATCAAGACGTCAAACAATTTCTTTTCAAGTCTGAGCACGCACAAATATAAATCAAACTACACATGTATAACGTCTCTTTAAATATGCTTGAACATAAATTTATCGCACTAATGGCACGCAATCATGCTCACAGTTTTTGTCAATTTCAACGAGTCGGTGAAAGGAATTGAGTGTCGTATTTCATTTTACAAGTGCAATAAGATTACTGGCAACAAATTAAAACACATCAGTAAGTTGAAATGCTTTTATTAAGACATGCATCCAATATGTATCAAGTTTGCACAATAACACGCATCACGCCTCATACACACACTATTCTCAATAAAAAATACAGTTCAATCGAACAGCAATGATACCGTTTAAAGCAGACTACGAAATGGCGAAGTAACTGAAAATCACGAAAAAGCTCATGACAAACCACCAACCTCTTTGAGTGAAACTTCTTCACGTCCCGGCATTGAGGTTGTTTGTGGATACAATTCGACTCGGTAGATCGGCGCAAATATACCGTGTTTATCAATGCATTCGAAATACTTGACTCCTGAGATGAATTATATCATAAACACATGACTCAATCATACACAAAATAATCTGGTTTAAGCATTCTAAAAAGGAAGTGATTGTTAACACTGAAGGTAAATGTGCTGATTGGGAGCGATTAGAGTGAACTCCAACTGAGTCATTTCAATGTCTATTCGAGTGATTTCGATGTTAACAATTCAATTGCTGCTGGTTGTTTAGAATTCGAATTTTTTCGGTTGAATTTTTGAAATTTGATGGAATTTCACTCGAAGTTGGAGATAAAATTTTCATTGATTGAAGGAATCGTAAAGAATGTAAAAAGTAAAAGTGACAACAGCATAATTGAGCTGTAAGGCCGTTCGAACCTTGATAAGTGCCATTATGTAAACCGGCAGCGATGTCTAGTTCAACACCACAAAAGATGCCTTCCTTTCCTTTAAGATTCATAAAAATGTTATTATGTAAACTAGAAATTTGATAAATTTCAAAAATTAAAAAAGTAAGTGGTGAATGGATAACAGAGCATGGACGAATGACGATAAAATTATGAAACTGATTATGGAACTGAAACGAATCGGCAGGAAATATGTGAACACCTCCAACTCTTCCCACGTATTTCAGCACTCCAGTTCGCATTTTTCCAACAATGACACGTTTTCCAACATCTTGCATGCCAACAACAACATCTCCGCTATTCGCCTGAACTATTGAATTAAAATCTACTCTTTTGAACACTCAGTTTGGAATGATAGCAATATTGAGGGGGTTCAAAAATTACCATTTGGTGGTGTCAGTAAAACGATGAGAATCTTTTGAATTCGTGCCGACTGATTCAGTGGGGCAAGTTTGCTTGAAAATTTGTAGTTTTAGTTTGCATTGTTTGTCACGAACGCACAGCAAGCGAAACGATGTATGCAATATTTCATATTTTGATTGATTCAATAATCAACTCCATTACTCCATAAAACACACCTCCGAATTTCATATCATAAAGCATTTTAAAAAGAGTATGAGAATACGGTTCAAGTATTGAGGAGTAAACACTACACACCTGATCGTTCGTTGATTTAATCATCGTTTAAACCGTCTAATTACCGTATCTCTGAAAATAAAATTTCACCTAAATCACTCACTCAAAAATCCACCATTAGGAAAGCGAACGCTCAGATTGAAACCGAACACTTTCGATAATCAACAGATCAATACTTCGGAACTCGTATTGATGCGATGAATAATTGCAAAAGTCTTTCGGAATGATCGAACGAATGGCATTAAAAAAATATTCACGTAACCAATTCCGAGCCATTATGAGCATAAATTAGCATTTATTTAACACGATTAAAGCAATGACATATCACGATTTCTACAAGAACATTCAGTGAAGAACACCACTTCAGAAACATACAATTTTTTTAGAAAATACGAAAAAATTCATTGATCACTCAAAATTTATTGCAAATTGTTGAACTGATGCAGACGTCGATTCGTCTGCACTGTGAGCGTAATAGTCTAGGAATACTTCACATTGTGACGCATCAACGTTTAACTCTATTAATGTGATCCCAACCAATTTTTAACTAGCATGCGATCGAAAGTATCGCGATCTTTGAAGTGAAGTAATCGGTAGACTACGAGCCAAAAAAATCTGCTTCAAGATGAGTTACTAGAAGCACAAACTGGATTCCAAACACTTAATTATAGTCGTAAAAAGCTACTAATAAACGAAACAAACGACTGAATGATGCAAGTATCGGACAAAACATAACCGTTTCAGTGCATAATTCATCAAAAATCTTTCGGTAGCACAAAATCATACGATTACTTCGCATCTGAACAGAACTGGAATGGAATGAAACATTGAAGATGAAATAAATTTCAAATGGAATCTCGATTTAATCAATCACCAAGACACTGAGGTAAAGTAAACTGATGTGATGCAAACAATGCGGAAAGGCGAAGTAAACAGAAGTAATCGACTATACTCAGTGATTTCCAACTGAAAGGAATCTGATAACGAGAACGTAAGCGTTCAATGAATCAACCTGCGTTAATAAATAACCAAATTGCGAGTGTTATTATCAACGTGAATGTACAAACATTCTTATGTATCAATAGTTCCATTCCATCGAGCCTGTTTTCCTCTTTTTTCTTCACTTAAAAAACAACTCTCCGTCAATTGATGGAATCCAATGTTCTATGATGCATTGATTAATGCTTATCAATCAAACTGCACTAATCAATCAATTACTTCCTTCATTCATTCCTCTCTGAATATTACTTATCGACTGATCACGGTTATTATTGTAGTTGTTATCAGTATCATTATCATCGCGATCATGATTATTATTATCATTATCATTATTATTATTATTATTATTATTATTATTATCGTTGTTAGTATCGATTCATATGATTGCTATTTCAAAGAGCAAAGCGAACAAATGCAAAATGCCGTGCGCCGTGCGATGAACATCACCTGGCGTGCTCATTGCCAGTGATAATCTCATGAGTGTTCAGTTCATTACTTCCCTTGGCTAATCATATTCATTTTTTTTTCTTATCTTTCCACTTCACTTGAAGAAATACACAGAGTTTAGTCTGAGCATCTGCTTCAGTTACGTGTTAGAGTGAAACAAACAGCAACACATAATCAGAACCGTCTATCATTCAAAAATTGCTTGCTTCCAAAACATTGAGATGTATTCAATTCAATAATAGCGTAATGCTATATCTCTTGAAAGTAGATCACAATGTCATAATGCAAAAGTCACCATACTCTCTTACTTCAATCACACCAATCCAGATTTGTAACATTATTTGATTAATCGGAGTTTTTACTTTTAACAAGTGCCTATCGCTAGGTTAATCTTTTCAAATACAATGCAGTGGTTAAAAACGATTTGAAAATATTTCAAAAATATTCCAGATGGATATTTTCAGATATATTCCGACAACAAAATCTCCGTTAGGCAAACCAATTGAATTGGACGTTCTTTCATCACAAAGTTCGTATATTCTAAAATGCAAGTTGCCGATCGATACAAACTCGCTCTTGAAAGAAACAACGATTTATGAACAAAGGGGAAAATTTTCGACAAGAAATGAAATAATACGAATGGTTTTATCAGCATTTCCTTGAAATGTTCAACAGAAAAAGGAAAGCAACTGTCTGTGTTTTCAGTAAAACAAACTTCTTTAACGCAAAAGACATCACTGATACGAAATAATAAAGTTTCACGCATCACGAAACAAACGCGTGCAAAACAATAGAAAATGTTAGAAAACGAAAAAACACTTCACAAACAGATTGAAGATTAGAAAATCTAAAATACTTAATGCGAAGTAATAAAATGATTTAAAATCAGTACGTCATCAAGCTTTTCATTTATAAAGCAATCAAAACAGATATATAACTGGAAAGAAGCAATCCAAATTGCAATCACTGGATAAAATTCAGATGCATTCTTGATCAAGTATGACTCGACTCTGGAGACACTATTCACAGCTGCAGGGAACAGATTTCCGTCTATGATCAGTTCTAAACTAGCTGGAGACGTTACGATGAGCAAATAAACATCTCAAAGAAATCTGAAATTTATTTGATCAGTGATTCATTAAAATTATATTTTTGCACACGTAATCGAGAATCGAGAACAAAATCGATGAGCGAGCGATGGAAGGGAATTGATCAATTCCAAAATCAGCGCATTTCATAAGAAACTTCAACTTGAATCGACACTGAAATACGGGAAATAAGAATGAACCTCATACGTTAAATATTCTTGAGTTGACAGTGTTCGCTTTTTTTCACTTCAGAAATTTCGTCACATTTCCCATTGTGCATCAATTTCGTTTAATATGATATGACGGCAATTCGAATGACTCGCCGACACGTTAGGCATGATTTTTCTCAATCTCAACTAGACAACCATATGCAACACTTTTAGGAGCCCATCTAGCAAACAAAAGCGCACATAAAACATGCACTACGTCTGATACAGCGCTCTAAAAACAGTCAACGAAAATATATTGATAGTAATTTAAGGTCGACATTAAGATTTTGTTGAGACTGCGGATAAACTTGTCCGAAAATGAGCAATGAAGAGGTGCTTCGAAAATTAATTCAGCGCGTTCAAAGGATGCTGTCTGCAAGTAATAAACATAGACAATGACGTGATCGTAACTGAATCTCAAGCTTTCTGCCTCCTCGTTTCAACCAGCTTTCTTTCCAGTGCAATACAAACGAAAAGAAGCTTCGAACTGGTTAGAAAAGAATTCCACTGCGATAAGCGATTAGCACTAAAGCTGTTCGACAAAACGCAGTAAACTGCAGACACGAGTACGTGGGAATACACCTCAAAGCAAATATTAATAATTCAATACAGACATTAAGCACTACGAAGAAATCATGATTGAAAAAAATGAATTCACAACAACAGTGTCAATAATAACGACGAAAATGGAATTTTTAATTAGTCACAAAGAGTGATGATGATCGCACAATACAAATTCATCACTATTGATCATTACATGTGTTGGATGAATCGCTATTATTACTCAATGAATCCGCGCAATTTAAGCACGCTTCGATTGTGATTTTGAACGAAAAATATTGAAAAGTTAACGGATGATCTTTGAAAATTACATTCTTCGATAAACCAGATAGATTCGGTTGTTTTTTTTTTGTCGAATAAATACACGTAATAATGAGAATAACTGTCGATTCAAGCAAAAGATTCGAATGCATAGCGCAATGAAGTAGCACTGCAAGCAAAAGCAGTTGAAGAGCGAGCACAATGCGCACCGCAAAAAAAGTGATGGTGACGCACATATTTCGTAATCACTTTATGACAATAAATATATTTAATTAATATTAACAAACAATATCTGATGAAGTTATTACGAAGAATAACGGTTAGCGCTGAATGCAAGTCGCCAGACTAGGCATCTTTCTTCATGCACTTAAAAACTTAAAAACATCCGAGCCTCCGGCAGAATTTCCATCGGTCGAGCATTGAAACAATGTTGAAACTATGCCCTCGTCGAGGATAAGTACGGTGCATTTCACGACTGATCGGGGGTATTACCAGATAACAAGTTGAAATTGCTTGCGAAAACATGAAAAAGAGATATCTTGAATAAGTTTCACGAATAAGATGTTTGACCCTTTAATTAGTGAGGACAGCTGATACCGGTTATTAACGAATTCATCATACCGGTTATTAATAAATTCATAGCATCTCAAGAATTGAATTTCTAAAGTTGACTGATATGAGAAATTCATCATTGATCTATTACCAACTGGTATATGTATATTGCATGAAGGTAGAAACATGGAATTGTTTCCATATTAGTGATCAAACACCACATAACTTGTAAATAAGCAGTAAAAGGCAAAAACTACATCGAATCTATATAGCAGTGGAAGGTAAATCAATGCATGAATACTTCAGAAAGTATGTAGAATGTCAACGATAAATCTCAATCTCTTCTAAGGAGCATATGAAATGTGTGAAAGATGTATGTGAATAAACTCGAATAAATGAAATGCACTTCAACTTTTTCGAGCACTTCAGTTTTGAAAATATATCAATTACCCATAATCACCCGTGAACTGGTAGCAATTACCCTCAATTAAGCTCACTCTTTTGGCACATTTGTTTTTCGACAGCAGCAAGAGTTAAGAAATGAAAAACTGAATTAATTCAATCGACAATTTGACATATGAGAAATAATCAATCAAGCACTCGAATGAAATCAATGATGAAAATAAAATAATAAAAGATTATCGAATGAGCTCAGTCAACACATTAATAATTTCCAGAAATCGTCAGCAAGTTTTGCATCAACTATAGAGAATCATGAAAATCGTTCCAATGTCCAAATGTTCAGATATCTCACTATCAGTTAAAATCAAATGTAATCGAATATCGTCCTATTTATCAGTCCAGCATTCCAATACCAGCAATATTGATTGACCCAAGCAAGCGTAGAAAAATTCCATTAATCGCATCACAGTAGCCATAAGTATAACAACATCACAGTAGCCATAAGCATAACAGAGTCACTAATTAAGAACGAAATAATCGACTGAATAATGCTGAAGATCAATTTCAAGTTCACTATACTAAACCAAAAATGTTGACAAATACATGATGTAAACAACATTAACAGCAGAACATTTGCTTGAAAGGCAAGTAAAATCAAGAAGTGGAAGCTGAAACCGATAAAATTTGATGATGAGACAAATGAAAGCATTGACAGTCGAGATATATGACAGATAGATAGATAGATAGATAGATGCATGGGATGAATGCATGTGAAGCAGCGACACCAGCAGCACGAACAGAGACTATGTTCTATACATGTACATGGAATGGAATAAGCATGACAGGGTATGGATTGCAGCAGTATTGAGTGCGACGATGTTATAAACGCGGATTGATGGATACGAGTCATTTCGAAATATTGATTCTAGCTTATATGGTTAGTTGCTTTTTGTTGTGGTTGGTTGTATTTGTGCAGGCATACTGCTAAGCTTACATACAACATCCTGGATCTCATTCATAACTCATATGTATGTACTTCCACTTATCTCTTTCGCTGGTTACTAACCCCGTTTGAACTGCACTCTGGGAGATGAAATTCCTTCACTTTGAGAATCATGCCATATCTTGTTGTTATATCCTTGTTAGAAGTATCCAGCTTCCTTTGCCTTACCCCATATCACAGTCTCTTTCGGCGTTTATTTTGTAATAACACTGTATCATATATCGAAACACAAAGCATTCATAAGATACAAACCCAAACGGGAGGAGATCCTCCAAATGAGACCTACGAAAGTTAAGTGTCATCATCCGAATCGATAGTGCATGATATCCATGTACATCTTATACATATTCAGCTAAGTATGGATTCAAAGTTTGATTTCACATATCACTTCGGTATCCCTCACGAATCGTCTCTTTCGCGCTCCGTCGCGACAGTCTCCGTTCCCTTTTTATTATGGACACAGCTGCAACATAAATAATGTTCAATGTTAAAAAGTCGTTCAGTTATCAATTTCTGTTGTCTTATATCTCGAAAGCAAAGCAGCATTAGATTTCGATGAACATCTCCAATAAGATATTGACGAACTACGTTGTTTTAAAGAGTAAGCGTGAAGGACATTATAAAGTTGAACTTTCTGCTACTCGAGTTTATCAAACCATCCGTCGAATTAGCCTCTCTGCGATGCACTTCAATTGAATTCAGTGAAAAACGATTATTCAGCGACTTATCTGCAACGAGTTTGTGAACACAATGAAGTAACTTTAACTGATGCCATAACAGTTACATGACGATAACTTCATTTGGAATGTGTCAGCCAGAACGCAGAGTGATTTAGAGGGTATGGTAGGATGACATCAAGGGAGTCTTATTGGCTATTCAGAGGGACATCTTGATGTGTTGCAGTACAACAATGTGAACTTAATAACATTCATGGATATAATTATTGATTTTTTTTCAACTCCTCAATCAAACACTATGAAGCGCTGGAAAAGTTAGTAATCTGAACATGTGATGTTTTGGACCGTTCGAGAATGGCTTGTGAAATTCAAAATTCACATTCAAAATGCATGAATCAGATGTTGCTTTCTTGATGTTGCTCTGAGTTTTTTTTTTGGAACCCTTTTTTGATTTTTCAAACGCTTCTTTCTCACTGTTACAAGTCCCTTCTCGATAATATTGGCATATGTTTTGGATTCTAAGCTACAATGATATCCAACCGATCATAACTGAACATCAGTGCTCGAATCGCATAGGAACAGCTTTTTTTACAGTGCAGCAAAGGACAATTGAATCGGATTTTTTGGCACTAATATTTAAGCATAATTGCCTCAAACACAAAGCCAAAATCTTTTTATTCAGAAAGAAAATGGCTTCATCTACGCGAAGAAAGACGTCGATGTATTGTTGAAAGAATATAATGAATGAAGAACAAACTTATTAGAACTGAACAGTTTGCAGAAGCATTTTTATTAAAACAATTCCACTGAATGTAATTATACAAACATTAGGATAACATAACAATTTGATAACAAATTTCGACAGATGATATTCGTGAGGAGTAAACAATAAAAACAGAATTATGGATCCAGTGAGTTAACACAACAACGACCAAAAATCCCATGCTTCACAATCTCTATCAAATGATCGGTCAATCAGATCAACTAAAGCATAAACTGTTATCATCTGAAAGTTATTATGGTTGATCACACTGACCCTGAAAATGGCTTGATTATTCGCAGAACTAATGGTACAATATTTACAAAAAACCGAATAGTGAGTTTTATATCGTGAAAAACAAATTCATTTGAGCTTTCCGAGTTGACGTGAACTAAACTGCTAACGTGAGCTATAACAAAACAGGTTTGATTAGTACGTTTACAGCATTCCGATGAGGCAAGAAGCGTGATATCTGAAGATCGTTAGTGTTAAATTTCGAAAGCTCCATTAGCTACTCATTGAAAATTCACGTTTAATTCGATGAATCTGTTCTTTGAAGCTGAGTTTTTGGGTTGCTGACAATCACTGAGCATTCAGTACGTTACTGAGCATTAATAAAATATTTTGACAAAATTAAGTAAAAAAACTGAAAAAATATGTTCAGCGAAAAATCAGTTTCGAATGCAGTATATTATGCCACAGTGTCGAGTAGCTCGAACAAATGAGCATTGAATGAGTTTAACTGATTCATCAGAAATGCTTTTTGAATGAGTCGTCAACGTTGACAATTTCGACGGAGTGCTATTGACTTTTCGAGATCGGTCAATGAAATGTTCATGTAAGTTTCCACACAACCATTCATTAAATCACGAGTTCAATGATAAATCAGATCAGTGCATCTGCATGAATGTGAAACTCATATCTGAATATTCATTTAATATAAACCATTAAAAATGAATAAGCAAATAGAATCTAGTTAGCGAGGCAAATGAGAAAAAGTAAACAAGTTTAGGTGATCATGTCTTCTTGAAGAATTCCAGGAGCAAAATGCCATATACCCCACATTTATCACTGAATAAATCGGCTTCCAATATGCTTCCAACGTTTTGAATTTATTGACTGATCATCCCAAGTTCGATGAATTCTTTCGATTTATTAGTTTATTCGAAATTTGTATCCTGAAGATTAACTGTTTTTGAGATATGCAGTTACGACCTACGATAAATTGAGCAGCACTCCACAAACTGGGCTTTGTGAAAATCAAGCTAAGTGATGAATACGAAAATATGCCTTATATTTGACACTTGTTGAACTTATGTCGCTGTTAACACAAAAACTGAAGTTTCTGATCTTAAAGACATTGTCTCCATCCTTAATATCACTATTTTGATTCTAATCCTGGCATTTCACCAGCATTCCATTCTTTTATTGAAAGCTAGCTTAAGAATAAGCATAGTGACTCATGCTGGCTTGGATGAGTCACACATTTGGTTATCCAGTGACATAATGTACCATGACAAATCGACTTGCGGGCTAACCGAATATGCTTCAATAATAATCTGTTATGTTGCACACCGTCTTTAATCATGCGTAAGCGAATAACAAAATCTTCGCGAAATTCATTGCAATTATGTTGAAATTCCTCCTCGATATAATAGTAGCAATATCGATGTAACAATATTTGATGATCGAATCAGTTGCAATTCAATGAGTAATTTTCACTTTTCTGAGAATGTGAAACGAATGGCTATAATACTACTGCATATAATACTATACTAGTTATAATACCATCCTTTGCATATAAATTAATTAATTACGTTACACTCACTACATATATCTTTAATGGGAGATTGTTAGCCATTATGCAGCCACTATAGCCAATGCATAACATGAATTGATGAGGAAACGCATATAAACGAATTGTCAAGGGAATTGAGGAAATTGGAAATTGCGCAAAACTGATTGTATCATATCGTAAACTATCCCTACCACATTATGATAAATTACTGACCGTATTTGTCAAGTAACTGGAACAAAATCACGCACTAGTCCCTTAAAATGTCGAAAGTATCGTCATTCCGTCACAATTTTACGTTCAGTTCAATTTTAGTCCACCAGATCGAAATAGAATCTACATAATCATGCATATCAGATCTGATGTGAGTTGATGTACAGCCCTCATGACTCTTTCACGATTGACAGCGTGAGAGAAACGCCTCGACAGCCATTAACGATTATTTCGCATCATACAGGTGGAGGCTATTCAACGGTATTCAAAGTAACCTCTGTTTAATGATGCCTCCTTCAACACCAAACAAAACCTGCTCATATACCACAACAAATGCGTTGAACAAAATGACCAACCGGTTCAGCCAGACGATAAAGAGAGCACTCTACCGTTGTTTGCAACGAACACTTTCACTCACTCGCTTGTTGTATCTATCTTGATGTGATATTTGTAGCGGCAGAAGTTTCAATTTGATTTTGCACACTTTTCTCATGAATCCATATTGCGGTCAATTACGAAATAATATCAAATTGAAAATTTTGCACTCGGAAGACTTAAAACATATTGCGGATAGATGATACAAAGTTGTGATCTGAAATTATGTGCAATAATTTGTCATTTGTCAGCATTTGTCTTCATTCAAATCAACGTTATTCACTGAAAATTTTTTCAAGGAGACATCATGGTTGGATAATAACATTCTTGAATTGCGATGACCGGTACACATTAATGACATGATATTATTAAGATAATGAAAGTACTGAGCGGTAAAATGTAATCAGTGATAAATTGAAAGTGATATGCGGTTTCTGAGTACTTAAGGATCTGTTATCATCGTCTGATATCAATTCAATGAAAGTATTTATCAAAACAACAAACCGATAAAAAAAAGAGTTCGATCACATAAGATTGCTTGGAGAAGAATCAGTGAGCAATTTTAGTGATGCATTTACAAATTCACGTTCTTGTGCTGATAAAGAACAACTATTCTCCAAATGCCAACTGTATGAAGGAACCGTTCTTCTTGAATCCAACGGTCGTGTTCTGAACATCCCAAAATGAGTTCGGAATTCATTTCGTTATTAAACCAGAAATAGCTATATGCTTATTCAAAATGCTTATTTGTGCTTTAGGAATGAGAGGTGATGCGATCAAGATTATTGTTTCGACAATAAATTACTTCACTCATAGTTTGCTTAAATTGAACTAGCAAGCAGTTGATAACTTTAAATGAGAACTTCGATAGCATCAGTGTCATTTCATTTATAACGCTTGGGATGCAAGAGGCGCTTTGACATGTTAAATCATACTTCAGAGAATCGTTCTCAAAATGAAGATTAATGAAAAGTCAAACCCCAAATGCACGCCCCAAACGTCCACAACAGTCCATGAGTTGTCCGTATCGCGTGAATCATCACGCTGCCTTCTCAAAACATGCGCAACTCCAGAATCTGATTCACCCACGTTCAGTTGACACTGACTTGATAAAATCTAGATTCACGCAACAATTATACTTTCCAATGGGAATCATTATGTAGGACCATATGAACTAGTTGAGACAACAAGAAGAACAGTGGAAGTTTTGAAAATGAATGAGGAAATGATAAGCGGTAATTGACAGACGAACCGTGATGTCCGATTCATTTTTGAGAATATCAGTCAGTATCAATTCAAGTGACTCATCACGATGACCACACTCGAATCTCCATCGGGCTGGTAGTGTCTTGTTTTCGAGTAATATCTGTTCAAAGTTCGACGAATCATCAACAATGACCACTATTTATGTTCGTATTATCAAATAGTTTTTCGAACTCTGATAATTTTCACAGTGGAATATCAACGCATTAAAACTTGAAATAAAAGATTTCTGATAATCGTGACGAGAGCAAATGGATTATATGACTTAGTCGAACAAAGAAACAGCAAACTGTTTGTTTTAGAGCACCATCAACTTGACTGATTGTGAGGGAAAACGAAGGCTACAAATTTACATTCAATTGCTCCATTTGCTACTGGACTTATCAAATCCAGTAGCAAATGAACCATATTAAATAACACGAAATGTTTCATAATGCACACCTTCAGTTGTTGATTATCATTGCCATATAGGATCACAAAAACACCGTAATAATTCGGACCGAATCTGCAATGATCACCGCGACCAGCGATACCTTTACGACCGAACGGGTTCAGCGGCAATCCAGATGGAGAGAGAGTAATATGCGGCATATGGAATGAATGAAGCAGATCCGTTTGCTGCCTCTGTCTCCACTGCTTTCGTATATCACCGGCAGTCTAAACTTCACATTCTGGTCATATCATATATTTCGAGTGAAAATTATTTGCTTACATAACTATTCAGTAGTTGCAGCTCATTACGAGGGTCATTCTCTCCATCATCAAAACACGTTATTTTGTTGGACCTCTATTTTTCTGATAAAACTTATGTTAAAGCAAGACCATTGCCGCACAGTGAGAATGCACTCCCACTACCTTCGACATTATTGTGGGAAATAATTGCAGCAGAGATCAAAATGATTGAACAACTGAGAAGAGAAAATTTTTTGATCATACCTGCGGAGTGAAACAATCAACGAATTTTTGTTGTTCAGCCGGGAACTGCTCAACGGGTTTGCAATAGAACGGAGGGCAGTAATCTGCTATGAGCACATTCCATGATTTGTACTGATCTTCAACTGATAACTTCTTGATATTCGCTTCTAAATCGTACATTACTGGTGACGATGTGCCATACCAAGAATGTAAACGATCTGCAATTGCGGTTCATCAAAACGACATTCATAAATCGCACTATCACTGAAATTGTATTTCATATTCCTTAATTTCAAAGATAATTGAATGCGATTGGGATCTTCCAATTCCTGCATCTGAATTGTGGAACCTTTCGCGGTGGCAGAAGTGAAGTTCGTTGAAACAATCATCAGACGCATCTGATCTTTGAGTTGCCTTAATGAACTCGAACAACTTTTGATCTCCGAATGGCAAACAGTCGCTGACTTGTTTCCACTTGACCAAATCTCTCTTGACTTTACCTATAAAACAGATACAAATAAACACTGCAAAGCATTAGAATCATTTTAACGGTAACTTTTTGCAGATGATCTGTGCTAAACTTGTTTCAGATATTCACCTTAAGAAAACAAACCTTGAAATGAATAAATCCAGTTTGTGCAGTTGGAACTGATGGATTTTGATAAACATTTCCGAAACGAGCCAGTGGTGCCGGTTGTGAGTGAGATTTTGTTGAAGGTGTTACTACGTCAGGGTGATCCGAAGACGACGGCGAAACTTCACGGAAAAATGATGAAAAACAACCAGTTGCACGACAACATGATAAACCCAAAAAGTAGATCGGTGTGAAGGGAGGAGGCAGGACTGGACGTAATCTAAATCGATTTCAATGAGTTCAAGGAAAGGAAGTATTTTTGATGCATTTCAAAGCATTCGACCCAATGACTGATGACAAATGAAAATTCAATGTGTTATGTGGAACTATCATGATCAGAGGAGAGAAAATGAAATGCAAATTTAGTTTAGACATGCAGTAGCCAGACAATATGAATTTCGGGCACGAAAAATTTGGTTTGAAACAGCTAAAAGTAGTGATTAAAGCATTGGAAGTGAAAAATATCAATTGAGGAGATAACTAAACGTACAACTGAATTAAGGAATACCTGAAATCCTCGACGAGTGAATATAGTTGATATTTCCAAATATAATCAGCTTCTTCATTAACCTCTCTGGCTGTTTTTGTAAAGAATGCGAGCAGTATTGGCCAACAAATCAGTTTCAAAAGAACCAAATATTCAACAATAACAAAATAACCGGCCCACGATTGCGTCGGGCATTCATGGTTCGCATATCCACCAATCGCCGTGCAATAATCTGTCGGTTTACCCAAAAACGACTTCTTGCATGTATCCGTTTCGCGAATCCCTTAATTTTAGCTTTGTTTATTCCATAAGACATTGCAATATTAATAAGAGGTGCATTCGATTTTTTCCGTGTGAACATCCATTTAATATTTTTGAACCAATTTGATCGTGTTGGTACGCGATCAAATTTGAAGAAAACGATTGTTGAATGTCAAGAGGGCATCAGCAGACTGACACTTTTTGCTGATTACTGTTCAGTTTTGTTTCATTATGGCTCAAATTATTCGGATGCATTTGGAATGAAGCAATAACGCCCGAGTGCATATGAATTGGGAACGACAAGGATTCCAGGCGTGCAACTTCGAAAGAATCAAGACAGTTAATCTTTTAAGAAACATACGCCTTGGTCATTACACGTTCCCGATACTAAAAGCAGAATAACTTTTTCTGTATGGTGAAATGCACAAGTATTGTATGATACTACAATGAACCACAAATTCGTTTAACTTCAGAATTAACGACATTCGATAATTCGTTCGTTTAATTTCACAGTTAACGATATTCTTTAACAATTGAGACATTGTGAGGATACCTGAGAGGTCAACGGTAAAGAGAGAAAGCCAAGCCCAAGAAAGTGAATGTGTAAATGTGTGAAATTCAGAGGGACGATCCGGATAGACAATCGCTTGGGCTGCCACAGCACTGCTGAAATCATAGTAACTCTTTAGTACTTGATAACGATATGAAGTATAATTCTAAACTAAAAATAAAATGACGAATGTTTCGTTGAACTCTCATCGATAAATTACTGCATATCTATGAGTAGTTGAAGAATTTGGTGATCACAGAAATAGAGAGACACTGAAATATTAGTTAGTATTTCATCGATAATTTATGCACGAGCGCGATCTTTGCTGGTGGAATTTTGGTTTGTGTGGCGTATTCGAAATGCTGTGAATTTCTCAAGATTCAGCTCGAGATATAAATACCAGCTCAGCAGCATGCCTTAACTGAACGAATTTAAGTAAACGTTATTTGGTAATGAAGTAATTGCGATAAACTGTTGAAATCGTTTCTCTCTTTATGACAGATCACTGTCATAAAATAACGCAGGATAAATTGCACTCCGACACTTAGCGATAAGAGTAGCCTTAAAAATGAAGATAACAGTCACCTGAGCATAACAAGGGCGACAAGAATGAGAAAGTTGACGAAGTCTCGTGTGAGCATTAGTTTGATACGCACCATTAGTGGACCGAATGTTTTTGAAAGGGGTATATAGCGAAAGAGAGTTGAGTAGCATAAATAAACCAATAGAAATGATGAGGCAATCCGTGCTGAATACGCCGAATTTAGAGGCTGAAACTGGTAAGGAAAAATTGTCATTGGTATTAGGAATATTGCAGGCTACCTTTCTTATATGGTTCGATTATTCCTCAAGAATGGAACCGAATAAAGGGGTCTGAAAGAAATTTCGAAGGAACTAAGCAAATTTTTCAGTGGTATAGTAAGCCCTGAATTGTGATGACTGCTTAGAAAGAAATTGAATTGAAAAGAAATAATCAAATGAAGCAAACCACAATGTAATCGTTTGAAACTTGGGCAGAAAGTTTCAGAGCTAGAATGATGAAGAGTTGAACTGACATTGCACTTATATCGAAAAGTTCCCATTTTAACTGAAACATCAGATTATCGTTTGAGATGTCTAATGGACTAAAAAATCCAAGCAAGACATTAATATTTTTGAGTCGCTTTAATGACTTTTCATATCAACTAGGAGGCCACTGCTCAGTATTGAAATTGAAATTGCATTAATGACTGTCAATAAAGAATGAATCGTGCTAAATCAAATGTATTAAAAAAGATTTGCGCGTCTTCCGAGAAACATTCAAGCAGTCCACGAAATGGAAATTTACTACTGACTCGGAACTCGGTACTCCAAAAAAGATTTGATAAGGGACTGACGAAAAACATAAGATGAACAATTACAGTATGATATCGGAAATGCTAACATTGTTTGCTTCATCTCCTTTCAAGCATTACATCGAAAAGCTATATCGAAAGTTAGTGGATGACTTTACCTCCATAAAGTAAAATAAAATTTTCAGTTGATCTTTCCTATGCAAGGAAATGTCATTAAGATCAACCAATTCACAGGGTTATACGATTTGGAAAGAAACGTTCTCACCCATTCCGATCGAATTTAATCCTTTCAGAGCACTGTTCAGCTTGAACTTATTTTTGTGGTTATGTTTTCAAGGTACGCATTGAGAGGAATGAAACTAAAGCACAACCTGCATGACAGGACAACGATGCAATCGATTCGAGAAGACCCAAACTGTTTCAAGTAATATTATGAAAGTCCAAATCCATAAAAACGTATCCAGTGTTATTGAACCACAACCGGGTAGAGTGATCTTAAAACTGAATTTTTCATTCAGCAACCGAAAAAAAAATATCAGCAATTTTAATCATGTGCACAATGTCATTTGAACAGGACTCAGATATCAGATACAAGAAATAGTCTATTAAACGATGATAGTGTATCCATGAACTGTAGCAGATTATTAAAGAAAGCTGTTGGCAATGACGAACCGCATAAGCGAATATGAATAGATGAAGAAGTCGGAAGATGAGCGATAACCAAAATTTGACGATAGGTGTTGAATAGAAGGTGGTGATGGGTACGGAGTGCTGTTGATAAACGGAACGTTTACTGCTGTGATGAAGCAATTTGGTGTTGACATCGGGCACGTCATCGGGCAAAATGATAGTTTCTTGTTGTTGCGGTTGGGCTTGAGATTGGCACACGGAAGTGACACCCGATTGCGGTGTGGCCAAACTCTCTCCTTTCGACAGTATCAGTCCTTCATCTCTTTGACTACTACTCCGCGCCGAAATTACACTACAATTTCATAGAACCCTTACAATAATATAAAAAATGACGAAATTATATATCAGGATAGTGATGTCCTTGTTTCATCTGAGCTGTTCTGTTCTTGCTCTATTGGTGTTCTGTTCTACCGGAACAGGATAGAATAAATTCAAAGTGTGCAACGGAGAAGTAGATCGCTTTAAAATCAAAAGTGACCTATAAGCAGAGTGCACTCTTGATTTGCTATATTTCCTGCCATTTTGCAGCAGTGCGACAGTAGGACTGGTAGTCTGCAGTGAATCACTACAATCGCGTTCTGTTATTCTCAGTCGCACCCACAGCCATATCGGTAACACGAACACTGACGACAGCACTATTTTAAGCCATGGCGGTATGAAGATTATATCTTTCGAGTTCGTCGTCTTAATCGATGTTGTATATTACTATCGTAAATCAAAACGAAACATTAAAAGTACATATGAAGTTATTCCAGAATTCAAGTCGCGTCAAATTTCTTCTTGTACTAAATCATGGAAATCGCATGCAGTCAAGGTTGTCCCCACGCATTATTGCATCAAAAGCAAGCAATGCGTATTCAATCGGTAGAGCTGATGAGGATCATAATGTTGTTTGAAGAAATTGTCGAAAACTCCGAGCAACTGCATACGAGCTATTGAAATTTTGAACTTCAAAAGACATCTGTGAGATGAGATTCCTAAAAAACGACCTCTTGAAACTTATATGAAACATTTTCCCAAATTTCGCTAATGAAAATTTTTACTGCAATTAACCTGCACGTTCGCATACAAGAGACGATGAACCCATCGTTGACAACATCGATGCGCCACAAATTCCTTATTATTCGTCTGAAAAAAAGCTCTTGTAACTCTTGAAAAATCATATCGCTACAATCCTACAATCCTCACAATCCACACAAAAATCACAATACAAAAATCACAAGAAAATTGTTCACTTTCAACCATTTTCAAATACCTGTTTTTAACGGACTCTAGTGAAAGCTGTCGATGAAGAAATCTTTTCCATGAATGTAAAATTTGTTTATGAAATAATGACAGTAATGAATAGTCCATTGAGTAATTGCTGAATTGAACGGAATCGAAACTGATCAAATTACCAATCAAACAAAATGATGCTATGTTAATCAGCTTCGCAATGAAACAGTCCAAATGAAGATAGAAGGTAATAAACCTGCAGAGCAAGTTCGGTTAAGGTGAGACCGTTGAACGAGTCGAGTGGCATACACAAGCTTGCATATGTCTTACGTGGTGAGTCTCGATGTGACTGTTCCAATACCGCTACACTGTGATCGCTTAGCCATTTCGATAGACGTAAGAAGCCGCTATCGTAGAAAAACCAAGTTCTTGTCTTCAACATTGAGCATTTCATAAGTTCATTTACGCTTAATAATGGTTCTACTGATGAAATAATAACAATATTAAAGAGAATACTAATCAGTTTGTGAATCATGAGTTATGCATGGAACAGAAATCAGCTTTCAATAGCAGCAATTACAAAGAATATTAACGGCTATATGATAGTGCGACCGTAGTCTGTTACTTTCATATAAGTGGATGAGTGAATGAACAAGCAATTGAACAAACAAATAAGTAAATGAACAACATATTGTGCAAAATTTGAATGATAACCTGATGGGAGAGGGAGTGCGAAACGCGAGCCAATGTGATAGAAAGGGGAACGGTATGATTTGAATACGCACACAAGCATTTCACTAATTCGGCACGATTTAATAACATTGCCCACACGGCAATTATATCGAATGATTTCTTTTCATCTGGTTGAGGCATTTCGAAGTATTGTGCTGGCAATAAATCGTTGATACCACCAGAAAGCGAGCACTTGAAAATATTTTCTTATTTTCATCATCAATTAATGGCTAAGAATTATTATCAATTGCAGTTCTCTATTCGAGATGGAGTTTTACGAGCGATTCGTGATAATAAATCGATTAATAACCCGTAATTATCGTCTAAGATCATGTTAGGATTCATCAAACCGAACTGAATGAAATTCGTTAGCTGCTCGTAACATTTACATAAATGGCTCCCCATTTCCTCTGGATCGTTTTTCCTTGACATGACTGTTTCATCAAATGAAGCTGAGATTAAGTATCAAAAAATGGCAGTCATTCGTTGGGAATGAATGATATTTAGCAAATAGAATGAAGAAGAGAAATACTAAAATATGATGCATTAATTGCCCATACAAGTAATTTGTTGAGTTGATCGATCAAATGAATATCAATTTCGGTCGGTGCGAATCGTCGCCCCAAACAGTGACAAACGATTATATTGTTGAAGAAATACTGCAAATACATTCAGCTGCTCAATCCTAAGAATTTACCTTATGATGTACGGTGGATTTCAATAGTTCAAGAATATATACTGTGAAAGAATAATTCAACGAAAAGGAATAACAACAATAGATAATGCTAATGATAACAACAGATAATGCTAATGCTATTGATAAAGCTGAATATTGGGAATATAACACAATCAAGCTCACCTGATCTTTACATGAATTGAGCATTTTCTTCAGCAAATCTAATGTTGCAATGAATGGTACATTTTGATCGAGTAGCGCCGATAACACCGGTATTCGTTTTTCGGACAGCAACGCTTCTTCATAAAGCTGTGCTGCATCCTAAAAAACATTCTCCTTCTTCTTATTGAATTCTGTCGCGGAGATAAAGAAGTGAAATGAACAGGCTTTAAAATGCATACGGTATATTTCGACGCTCTATGCTAGTGTGTTGCGGGGATCCGGGAATTTCCACCACCTCGTCCCTGACTTTTTTCCATCCCCGCGACACTCTACCTTATGTAGTAACAATTCACTCGAAACATTATTTCAATCATCAGCATACCAACAGTACAAATGGTATTTTACGGTACGTAATGTTCAGCATCCCTGATTGTGAGTAACAAAGTCAAATTTCAGTGAGTCGACTACCTGTCTGGTATAAACTTGTGACAGTGACAATGAAGAAACGATCGCAGGTTCGCCGAGTCGTACCGAAAGTTGCAATACACGACGGATCCCAGTCGCATCTAATGACGACTGCATGCACAATTTCAATAATCTTTCGCAGATATCTTCTAACTGTAAAAGACTTTCGCAATTTATTTGCTTAATAATTCTTGAATAAAATAATTGTTTCATCCATCAAAAACTTTCGGATTCGAGAGTTGTTTTATTCAACAATGCCCGCAATGTTCGGAGGGCCCAAGGCAGAAGAACGAACCACTAAACAGATTTAAAAAAAAAACACTTCACTTGATCGGTAGAAATGAACGATAGCAATGTAATATCGCCGGATGCAGCAGCCAATGAAGCGATGATATTCTGTTTAGCGTTAAAAACGATCTCATCGTTGATATTCTCGTTACTCTGCGCAACACTCCTCAATTCAGCGTCCAGCCACTCAATCCACTTATCATGTTCAAATGATGAACTTCGGTACAGCAACCACGAACTGTTCAAGATCGCACACAATTCACTACTGTCCTCAATTCGTTTCACTTTATTCAAATTTGCCTTCATTGCTCGTATGGCTATTCAGTTCAGTATTGTTACTGTTTCACATTGTGCTATCGTTATCATTACTATCCTTTTCCTATTTATAATATTTATTACCATTGTTATGAGTATTATTATATTATTACTGATATTTTCAATTTGTTGCTTCAATGATCCATATGTGAAAGACTGTTCCCAAATGAACAGGGACGGTCAAAACAGAACTCCATAAGTAACATCGTGTAAAACAGTAGCAGTACCGATGA